CCCTGGGGGCCCCCCCCGGGGGCCCCCCCGGGGGCCCCCCGGGGGCCCCCCGGGCCCAGGGGGCCCCCCAGGGGGCCCCTGAACTCCCGAGTCCCGAGCCAGTCGCGGGGGGGGCAGCGGGCCCTCTTGAGGGCCGCGTTTGCGGCGAACATCCCGAGAAGGTTGGCCAGAAATGCGTCTAAGACCAAACTGTCCCACCAACACTCCTGGAACTCCGGCAGCAGCCACTGCAGCGAGGCCTCAGAAGCTTCAAAGAAAAGAGACAGAGAAATAGCACAAGGCCAACTCCGGAGAAGAGCCATCTTTAAGATCCAGCCCAAGGCGTGGCTGGAGACCCACGGCGAGCGCAGCTGCCGCAGCAAAGTGCTGCGCTGCAGCGAACAGTCCAGAGTGAGGGTCCCGGCGAAGACGTTGCTGCTGCTGCAGCAGCCGGGCAGCAGCAGCTGCAGCAGCAGCCGCCCGGTGGGGGGGGGGAGGGCCAGGAGGGACAGCAGCAGCAGCAGGTAACTCACCCCCAGGCCGTGCAACAGGCTCCAGAAGAGACTCTGCTGCTGCTGCTGCTGCTGCTGCTGCTGCTGCTGCTGGTTGTGGTGGAGGAGGGCGGTGTAGAGGGTGAGGGGCACGGCGGTGAGGGCCAGCAGGCGCAGCAGCAGCAGCCGGAGCTGCTGCTGCGCAGCGGGGGACAGCTGCTGCTGCTGCTGCTGCAGCAGCGCGGCCGCGGGCTCGTGCTGCAGCAGCGCAGCAGCAGCCACGGCCACCACCCACAGACACGCACCCAACAGCCCCCACGGCCACACGCGCAGCGGGGGGCCCCCCGCTGCAGCAGCAGCAGCAGCAGCAGCAGCAGCAGCAGCGGGGGGGGGGCTGGAGGGCCTGGGGGCCCCTGCGGGGCCCCCTGTCGGCAGCTGCTGCCGCCGGCGGACGCGCATTGAAGAGGCCCCCGAGAAGGGACTTAAAGACTTCAAATTTTTGAAAAAAATGGCAAAGACCTTCCGGGGCGGCCCGCGGCTCCGGGCCCCGCGCCGCCGCCTGTGCTGCGCTGCCTGCCGACGGCCAGCGGGAGCTGCATGCTGCTGCCTCTCCGGAGCCCCAGCCCTTTCTTCTTCTAAATTCTCCTTTTATTTCCTTTTTTACTTTTAATTCCCTTTTTTTTGACCCCTTTGGACCCCAAAAACTCCCCCAAAAACTCCACGCCGCCGCCCGCAGCCAACGCCGGCGGCAGTCCGCGCATGCATGCGCCAGGTGTACGTACACCGCGCGGCCCGCCAGACCCGCCGCCACGCCCAATTTCTCCAACTCCCACTTCACTTCTTTTCTTCCTCCGCTTCTCCCCCCTTTACCTCCGCTTTCCACGCCCTTACACGCAGTTCCAGCCACAGACACAAAGCCAGAGCAGCACACCAGCAGCGGGCGCCTCCTGCTGCTGCTGCAGCAGCAGCAGCAGCAGCAGCAGCAGCTGCAGCTGCTGCTGCTGCTGGGGGCCCCTAGAGGGCCTCCTGCGCTGCCCTCAAAATGGCACTTCGAGCTGCAGCTGCTGCACTGCAGAGCGGCCCTCAGTGCGGCCGTTTGCTGCAGAGGCAGCAGCAGCTTCAGCGAACAGCAGCAGCAGCACACTGAGAGAGCAGCAGCAGCAGCAGCAGCAGCAGCAGCGCAAGTGCGCTGTGACAATAGCAGCAGCAGCCGCTAGACAGTAACAGCAGCAGCGTAACTCTAGCCAGCAACAACAGCAGCTCCACTAGGCAGGAACAGCAGCAGCAGCAGAGGCTCAAGTAAGCAGCAGCAGCAGCAGCAGCAGCAGCAGCTGCTGCTGCTGCTGCTCAGCTCTAGAAATTAAACCTTAAAAGGTTTAAAATGAAACAGAAAAGAAACCCGAAAGACCCCAAGAGCCGCTGCCCTGGCAGCAAGACTCCAACAAACACCTGCCCAGACCCCACAATAAATGCATGCATGCACCTGCATGCATGCACTTGCATGCACGCACTTGCATGCATGCCCTTGCATGCATGCACTTGCATGCATGCCCTTGCATGCATGCACTTGCATGCATGCCCACAATAAACCGACGCGCTGCGACAGCGCCACTATTGCATGCATGCATGCATACTACTGCATGCATGCATGCAAGGAGTCTCTAAGTAGTTGGTTTTTGGATTCTTTTCACTGGTTTGCAAAAGGGCTCTTTGGCCTCGCTGCGCCAGAGTCCCAGCGCCCCGGCCACGGGGCTGCACTAGCTTTTGAGAAGTGCTGAAGTGTTCTTAAGAGGATTTATTTATAAATGGAGAAATAAATAAATGGAAATAAACAGTTGTGCACAAATGCATAAGCATAAATGAACACAAACGAGAAGGTCTAGTGTTGACTGCATGCGGACAAGACCTGCACAGACACCCCGAGGTGCGCAGACACCCCGACACCCCGGGGTGTACAGACACCCCAGGGTGTCCGGCGCGCTGCGTTCTTCGTTCGGCGCCGCGCAGGGGCTCCTTGAAAGGAAATAAATGAAAATAATCCTTTAAACGATAAATTAAAAGTCTTAAAGACGAGACAAACGCCTCAAATAGCCTCCATCTTCTTCAATTTGGTCCCAGGCGACGGCCCCGCGGGCGCCTGGGTGGCGCACGAGGCGCACGCCGTCCGGCTCCAGGTAGCTGCTGCTGCTGCTGCTGCTGCTGCTGCAGTCCCGCTGCTGCTGCTGCTGCTTCAGGATCAACGGAGTCCGGTCTTGGGCCCCCTCGTCCGACAAAAAACGAAAACCCTGAGACCCCTGCTGCTGCGCTTCAGCAGCTAAAGCCCTCTCCTCGTCTGCTGCATAAGTCTTTGCTGCTGCCAGCAGCGCAGCAGCACTCAGCAGCCACAGGCTGCAGCAGCACCCAGCAACACAACCAAACGAAACCCTAAACCCTAAACCCTAAACCCTAAACCCTAAAAGCGCGGCCACATCTAACCATGCGACAAAACCCCGCTACAGTTTAGGGGTTCGGCGGCCGCTTTAAAGTCTGCCGTAGAAAGGAGTCTGGGTGCGAGGGTTTAGGGTTTAGGGTTTAGAGGTAGGGTTTAGGGTTTAGAGTTAGGGTTTAGGGTTTAGCGTGTACGCCGAAAAAAAAGCAAACAGCAATCACGGTATCAAGCGTTGCGATAAACGCGCAACGCTCGCAGCTCAGCGCTTAGGGCTTATTAGGGTTTAGGGTTTAGGGTTTAGGGTTTAGGGTTTAGGGTTTAGGGTTTTGGCTGACCTCATAGAGAGTTGAAAAGCCACTGCCCGAGACCCCACGAGGGCCCCCAAAAAAGAAGCCACAACAGTTCCGAGGGCTTTTGAAACATCATCTAAGACTGAGTAAATTGCGCAGATGGTGCCCCTCACCTGCAACGCACCCCGCAAACCCTAAACCCTAAACCCTAAACCCTAAACCCTAACAGGCCCTGGAAGGCCCTGGTAGGCCCTGTTAGGCCCTGTTAGTTCTTAATAATACTCATAAGCCCTTAAAAGCCTTAAGGAACTCTAGCAAACCCCGATAGACCCTGATTAACCCTAAACCCTAAACCCGCGGAAACCCTAGTAAACCCTCACAAACCCTCATAAACCCTAAGCAAGCCACAAGCATTCAAAAAAGAATTCATTCTCGTCGAACTTGAGCGTTTATTACTGCTGATTATTGGCCAGTAAAACTGCTTTTATTTAACACTTATGTGCAGGGGCTAGGGTTTAGGGTTTAGGGTTTAGGGTTTAGGGTTTGCAGACCTCGGCCGTGTTGACGTTGAGCAGCACTGCCCCAATGTTGGCCGTGGGCAAAGTGGAGCCAAAGGCAGCAACCAGCAGCAGCAGCAGCAGCAGCAGCAGCGCGGGGCCTTGTGGGGCTTTCCCCACAACCGCGGGGAACGCAAAGATCAGCACGCAGGGCACGCAGCTGCAGCAGCAGCAGCAACACACAAACCCTAAACCCTAAACCCTAAACCCTAAACCCCAAGCCCCAAAACTAGCAGCCAGTTCCAGCGCAAAAGCCGCAACGCACCATCAAGGCATGGAAGCAAGAACAAGACTAATGAAACAAACATGGCCCCAATGCATGCATTTATGCATGCATGCACTTAGGCCCAATGTGCAGTACACTGGATAAATTTATATAAATATCTGTATAAATAGCCTCTACAGCAGGCCATGGGCAAAAGTGTTTATGAAGTGGCCCACAGAAGGCGCGCGGTGTACGTACACCCCATGGGCGCGCTGCATGCATGAGACCTCTTTTGCATTTTAATCATTTCTTTTATTTGCAACATTTGCACAACTGCAGTTGGATTAGAGCGCATGCAGGGCCTTTTAAAACAAAAAGCCATTTTGTTTTTTTAAATTCATTAAAATGATTTCTTGTTTTGCACAAAATGCATCCTGTCTGCGTTGGGGTGTACAGACACCGGACTGCACAGTGCCCCAGGTCCAGTGTCTGTACACCAACTGCTCGGCTCCAACTAATTAATTAATCAATCAAATTAATTAATTAATTAACAAATAAATAAATAAATAAATAAATAAATAAATTATTAATGGATTATTAATTAATTAAATAATTAAACCTACCGAAGCAAACAAGTAAATGCACAAAACCTATTTGCAACATTTGCACAACTGCAGTTGGATTAGAGCGCATGCAGGGCCTTTTAAAACAAAAAGCCATTTTGTTTTTTTAAATTCATTAAAATGATTTCTTGTTTTGCACAAAATGCATCCTGTCTGCGTTGGGGTGTACAGACACCGGACTGCACAGTGCCCCAGGTCCAGTGTCTGTACACCAACTGCTCGGCTCCAACTAATTAATTAATCAATCAAATTAATTAATTAATTAACAAATAAATAAATAAATAAATAAATAAATAAATTATTAATGGATTATTAATTAATTAAATAATTAAACCTACCGAAGCAAACAAGTAAATGCACAAAACCTCAGCAGCCGGCCGCCGCTGTGGGCGTAGAGGTGCCCCCCAATGAGGCCCCCCACAATCATGCCGCAGAAGGAAGCTGCAGCAACAGCAACAATCTGAGCAGCAGCAGCAGCAGCAGACGCAGCAGCAGAAGCAGCAGCAGCAGCAGCAGCAGCACAAGCAGCAGCAGAAGCAGCAAAGGCGTAGGGTAACAACACGGGTTTAAACCCTAAACCCTAAGCCCTAAACCCTAAACCCCAAAGCGTGGGAAAGCCCCTTGAGTTCCCCTTTTGGGGCTGCAGCTGCAGCAGCTGAGCTGTACAGACACCGCAGCGCGGCTCACTGCTGCCATTGCCACGCTGTCCGAAAGTCCGACATCAGTTCTTAAAAAGTCATGCAAGTAAACCACCAGCACTCCCCAGGGCACGTTCCCCGGGAACGCCTGAAGCAAACGGCCACAAGCAGCAGCAGCAGCAGCAGCAGCAGCAGCAGCAGCGAATGTCTCAGCCACAACTGCAGCAGCAGCAGCAGCAGCGAATGTCTCAGCCACAACTGCAGCAGCAGCAGCGGCAACAGCAACAGCAGCAGCGTCCCGCGAGCCCCGACCCCCACCGTGCAGCATAAGCAGCAGCCACAGCAGCAGCAGCGCCAACCAGGACGCGCGGAGTTCTAAAAATGCACCACCACCATCAGCAGCAGCAGCAGCAGCAGCAGCAGCAGGAGCAGCAGCAGCAGCAGCAGCAGCAGCAGGAGCAGCAGCAGCACGAGCACGCCCGGGCGCACCTGCACCAGCATGAGCAAGTTGGTCTTGGACTGGAGCATTCTTTTGAGTGCCTGGAGGCTGAGTTCCTGCTGGTGAGTGTGGTGGGGGTGGGCGCGCGCAGCAGCAGCAGCAGCAGCAGCAGCAGCAGCAGCAGCAGCAGCAGCAGGCGCCGGGACGCCGCGCCGCGCGTTCGCGAGCTGGTAAAAACGGGCCATGAACAGCAGCGGAAAGGCCAGCACTAGAAAGGCCCAGCGCCAGTCCAAAGCCCCCAAAAGGGCCGCCAAAAACTGGCCAAAGAAGACCCCACAGCCCCCAGCGCCCAGCAGCAGCGCGGAGGCCCCGGCCCGCAGCGGTGGTCCGAACCAGTGGCCCACTAGGGCGGAGGCCAGCGGCGGCAGCCCGCCCCCCGCCAGCCCCGACAGCAGCCGCAGCGCAGCCAGCTGCCAGTACCCTGCAGCAGCAGCAGCAGCAGCAGCAGCAGCAGCAGCAGCGGTGGCGGCGGGGCCTGTGGCGACAGGGGGGGAGAAGGGCTGGGAGGGGAGTTGGGGAGGCAGCAGCAGCAGCAGCAGCGAAGCAGCAGCGGCAGCAGGAATGCCGCGGCAGCAACAGCAGACGCAGGAATGCAGCAGCAGCGCCAGACACAGAACTACAGCTGCAGCAGCAGCAGCAGCAGCAGTCACAGAACTACAGCAACAGCAGCAGCAGCAGTCACAGAACTACAGCAGCAGCAGCAGCAGCAGCAGCAGCACAGAACTACAGCAACAGCAGCAGCAGTCACGAAACTACAGCAACAGCAACAGCAGCTGCAGCACAGAACTACAGCAACAGCAGCAGCAGCAGTCACAGAACTACAGCAACAGCAGCAGCAGCAGCAGCAGCAGCAGCAGCAGCAGCAGCAGCAGCAGCGGACTTGTGACGAAGAAGGTGAGGAGGGAAGACAGGCCAATGAGCAGCAGCAAAAAAGCCACGAGAGAGTTGGGCTCAAAAAGACCCCCAAAGAGCCCCACAGCCAAAGCCCCCACGCAGCCGGGGAGGTAGTACAAAAACCTGCGCAGAAATAAAAAATAAAAAAATAAAATAAAATAAAATAAAAAATAAAATAAAATAAAATAATAATATTTCATTTATATTTAATTTAATTATTCTATTTGTTCCATTTTATTAATTCTATTCGGAGGAAAAGACAATTATTGAAAAAGAATGATCGAAAAAGGTCAAAAAATGATCTACAGAAGTCCAAAAAAAGATAAAAGGCAAAAAAGAAATTCAAGTAAATATCAAAAAAGAGAAAAAAGGGAAAAAAGAAGTTCGAAGAAGATCAAAAAGGAAATCAAACAGGAGCAAAAAAGAAATCAGACAAGATAAAAAAAGAAACCAAAAAAGATTAAAAAGGATCAAAAAAGAAAAGAAAAAAGATTAAAAAAGAAAAGAAAAAAGATCAAAAAAGAAAACAGATCCAAAAGGAGCGAAAAAACACCAAAAGAGAAGGCAAAAAGAAGTCAAAAAAGATCCAAAAAGAGTTTCAAAAAAGATTCGAAAATGGTTTAAAAAAACTCGAAGAGAGTTCAAAGAAGAGTCCAAATGGGACCAAAAAGAAGTTCTAGAAAGCCCCAAAAAAGTCAAAAAAGGCCAAAGAAGAGTTCAAAAAGAGTTCAAAAAAGAGTTCAAAAAGAAGTTGAAAAAAGGTTTCAAAAAGAGTTCAAACAGAGTTTAAAAAGACTCCAAATCGAATCCAAAAAAAAGTTTCAAAAGAGTTCCAAAAGAGTTCCAAAAGAGTTCAAAAAGAGTTCAAAGAAAGCCCAAAAAGAGTCTCGAAAGAAGTTCAAGAAATAGTCCAAAAACGACTTCAAAAAAAGTTAAAAGCCCAAAAAGATTTCAAAAAGAGTCCAAAAAGAGTCCAAAAAGAGTCCAAAAAGGAACAAAAAAGAGTCCAAAAAGAATCAAAAAAAGTGCTGTAAAAGAACCAAAAACGAACTGAAAAGGGGCTAAAAAAGAATCAGAAAAAGAATCAAAAACGAATGAAAAAAGAACAAAAAAGAATGAAAGAAGAATGAAAAATGGAGGAAAAAAGAGCAACAAAAGGACCAAAAACGAATTGAAAAGGAGCTAAAAAGGAGTCCAAAAGCATCAAAAAAAACTGCAAAAAGAGCCAAAAAAGAGCCGAAAAAGAACGAAAAAAAGAGAGAAAAGGAACCACGAAAGCCTGAAAAAAGAAAGAAAAAAGATCGAAAAAAAACGAAAAAAAGCCAAAAAAGAGCCCGAAAAGAGGCAACAAGAAGCTAAAAAGAAACCAAAAACAGGAGCCAAAGAAGAGCCACAAAAGACTTCGAAAAGAACTCCAAAAAGAGTCCAAAAGACTTCAAAAAATCCGAAAAATAAACAAAAACAAAACAAAAATGAAGTTACGCGAGCTCGCCGCCAACGCGAATGTCTCTTTCCGTCTCCGAAAAATTAAAAGTCTTCGCAACTCGCGAGAGATTCGGCGCGAGTGCGTTTTGGCTGCCGAAGGCCACTGCAACAGCAAGCACCAGGACTGCAGCAAGCAGCAAGCAGCAAGCAGCAAAAGCAGCAGCAGATTTTTAAATCCAATTCGAAACTTTTCAAACTTTGCTGCTCATTTGGCGATCTTCCGGAGATTCGGAGGTGCAAAATGAAACAAAAACGAAAAAAATCCAACAAAAAGCACAAAAATGAGCTCGAAACGAGTTGCAGCAGCAGCAGCAGCAGCAGCAGCAGCAGCAGCAGCAGCAGATCCAGCTGCAGCAGCAGCACATCCAGCTGCTGCTCCAGCTGCAGCAGCGGCAGCAGCAGCAGATCCAGCACCAGCAGCAGCAGATCCAACTGCAGCAGCAAGTAGCAGCAGCAGCAGCAGTAGCAGCAGCAGTAGCAGCAGCAGCAAATCCTGCAGCAGCAGCAGCAGGATGTCCAGCAGCAGCAGCAAATTCAGCAGCGGCGTTTATTTGGATTTGAAATTTGGATTTGCTGCTCCGAGCAGCCGCAGCAGCAGCAGCAGCAACACCAGCAGCAGCAGCAGCGACAGCAACACCACCAGGAGCAGCAGCAGCAGGACCTGCAGCAGCAGCAGCAGCAGCAGCAGCAGCAGCAGCACTCCCACCAGCACTGTTGCTTCTTTGCGCAGCAGCTGGTGTCTGTACACCCGAAACTTACTGATGAAATGGTACTGCAGCAATTCGGAGGCGCTGCTTCTTCGGTGGAAGGCCATTTCCAATTCGGGACTTTCTGCTGCTGCTGCTGCTGCTGCTGCTGCTGCTGCTGCTGCTGCTGCTTTTTGCTGCTGCAGCTTCTCCTCGTCAGGCAGCGCGGAGGCCCCCAGCCCGAAGGCGCGGGAGAAAAAGGCCTGCAGCCGCAAGAACTTAAACGCTGCTGCTGCTGCTGCTGTTGCTGTTGCTGCTGCTGCTGCTGTTGCTGCTGCTGCTGCTGCAGCGCGAGCAGCGGACCTTCAGCAGCATCTTCTTCTGCGCCCATCAACGCAGAAAACCGAAAAGCTGCAGAGGAGCTCATCGTACACCTGAAGACTGGGCTCTCAGCTAGCTGCAAGCAGCATGGGGAAGTCGAGCTGCAGCAACAAACAAACTGCTGCTGCTGCTGCTGCTGTTGCTGCTGCTGCTGCTGCTGTTGTTGCTGCTGCTGTTGCTGCTGCTGCTGCTGCTGCCGGTGATGCTGCTGTTGCTGCTGCTGCTGCTGCTGCTGTTGCTGCTGCTGCTGCTGGTGAGGCTGGTGGGAGTGCTGCTGCTGCTGCTGCTGCAGGTCCTGCTGCTGCTGCCCCTGGTGGAGTTGCTGCTGCTGCTGCTACTGGTGGTGTTGCTGCTGTTGCTGCTGCTAGTGCTGCTGTTTGGGAACCTTCAAGACTGGTGTTTCGCAGTTGGCTGCAGCCAGGGTGATGGCTGCAGCAAATGCGGCGAAGGCAGCGCTAGGGGAAGGCCAGGGCAAGTGGAGGGAGGGCAGCAGTTGCTGCTGCTGCTGCAGTTGCCGCTGCTGCTGCTGCTGCTGCTGCTGCAGCTGCTGCAGCTGCGGGCGCGGCTGCAGGCGTCCGTCGACGCAGCTGCTGCAGGGCCACTGCTGCGGGGCCGCCGCTGCTGCTTCGCGTCTTCCAAGAAGAAAAGAAATGAATAATAAATGAGAAATAAAAGGCCAAAGAGGAGCTGGAAGCCGCTGGGCGCATTGCAGCGCGCCGCGGGGTCCAGGTGACTGCGGGATGCCGGGTCAACGCAACCCGCCCGCCGCCTGCTTTCTGCCTTCCGGAATTAAAGAAAGGAAGGAAAATAAACGGGAAAAATGGAGGAAAATGCAAAAAAAGAAGGAAAATGAAGAAGGCCGAGGCAGAAATAACAGAAGTGAGACCAACAGACCACCAGCGCCGGCGCACTCGGGCGTGGCTCGAGTGTACGTACACCACTCGATCCGCTCCTTTCCCGGCGATCCGCCGGAATACGCCATTTCCAGATGAAAAAATTCATTTAATTTAATTAAAATTGAAAATAAATGTCTAATTAAAGCCAGAAAAGGCTTTAATCCGCCGCTGCAGCGCCAACCGCGCCTGTGTGTAGGCCACGTGAGCGCTGCTGCTGCAGCAGCGGCCCAGCAGCAACTGCCAGCAGCAGCAGCAAACGCGTTAAATGATTTTAACAACATAAAGCAGCAGCAGCAGCAGCAAATGCCCTTCGCGGAGCAGCAGAGACAACAAACCAGCCAGCAGCAGCAGCAAATGCCCTTAAGTGATCCATTAATTCTCTAAACTTCAGCCCAGCAGCAAAACCCTTTGGCCCCAAGCCACGCCTGTGTACCAGGGGGGCCCCTGGGGGCCCCTGGGGCCCCCTGGGGCCCCAACAGTTGCTGTGGGCGCACTGAGGCTTTGCTGGGGCTTCCCAGCTAGCTGCAGCTAGCTGCAGCTAGCTGCAGCTAGCTGCAGCTAGCTGCAGCAGGTCCCAGGCTGCTGCAGCCAGCTGCAGGCAGATAACTAGCTGATAGCTGCAGCTAGCTGCAACGCCGGCTGCAGCGAGTGCCAGCTAGCTGCAGCTAGCTGTGGCTAGCTGCAGCACTTGCTGCAGCGGGGCCCAGCTAGCCACAGCCAGCCACAGCGAGCCAACACTAGCAGCAGCTAGCTGCAGCTAGCCACAGACGGCCCAGCTAGCTATAAGTAGCCGCAGCTAGCCCCAGCCAGCAGCAGCTAGCTGCAGCTAGCTGCAGCTAGCTGCAGCTAGCTACAGCTAGCTCCAGCACTTTGAGAAGATGGGCTGAGGGCTTCGTCTTGCAATTATCTTTGTGTACAAGCCAGCCGGCAGCAGCAAGCTAGCCGCTGCAGCAGCTAGCTACTCGCTGCAGCAGCTAGCTACTCGCTGCAGCAGCTAGCTACTCGCTGCAGCAGCAGCTAGTTAGCTGCTGCTGCAGCTAAGTGCTGCAGTGGAGTCTTTTGGGGGCCTCCAGGGGCCCCAGGGTAGGGTTTATATATTATAAGCAGCAAATGCAGCAGCAAACAAGCAGCTGCTGCCCCCAGAAGTGATTTGCTGCTGCTGCTGCTGCTGCTGCTGCTGCTACTGCTGCCGCTACTGCTGCTGCTGCCGCTACTCCTGCTGCTACTGCTGCTAACACTGCTGCCGTTGCAGCAGCTCCTGCGTTGCTGCCTCTTAACTATTGCTGCTGCAGCAGCAGCAGCAGCTGGTGCAGCAGCAGCTGCTGCTGCAGCAGCAGCAGCACCCCCTGCAGCCCCTTTAAACCAGCGGGGGGCCCCTTCTTTTGCTCCTATTGGCCCAATTTAAGGCCTTTTAAAACATTTGGGGGGCCCCCCAAAACCCCAAAGCCCCTGGGGGGCCCCCCAGGGCCCAGGGGCCAAATGGGGGGCCCCTGCTGCCCCAAAAGGGTTTGACGGGGCCCCCAGGGGCCCCCCTAAACCCTTAGACCCACGGGGGGCCCCCACCAAACCCTCTTTAAGCCAGTTGGGGGGCCCCCCAAACCCTGGAGCCCATTGAGGGGCCCCCGCAGGGTCTAATGGCCAGCGGGGGGCCCCCTAAACCCTACGGGGGGCCCCCCAAACCCTAAAGTTTAAGAAAAGGTCCGAAATGAATTAAATGGGGGCCCCTATGAGTTTAATTCAATAAATGGGGGGCCCCCCAAACCCTACAAGCAGCAGGGGGCCCCAGCGAGGCCTCTTGCTTTGTCTGGTTTATTCTGTACTCACGCGGAATCCCTTCTTCTAGGGTTTAGGGTTTAGGGTTTAGGGTTTAGGGTCTGGGGTTTAGGGTTTGTGAGGTTTGGGCTCCGGCGAACTGGCTGCGTGGGCTAGGGTTTAGCGTTTAGGGTTTAGGGTTTAGGGTTTAGGGTTTGGGCCTCAGGCTAGTCCTCGAACTCAGAAAAATAAGCAGCAGTTTTAGTTTTGATAAAAATAAAAGAAAAACAAATTGCAAAAACTAGTGGCCGCAGTTCAGGTGTATGTACACCTCGCTGCAGCAGCAGCCATCGGGGGCCCCCCGCGGCGGGGGCCCCCGAGCGGAAAGCGGCATTTTTTTCCTTCAAATTTTATTTTTAATGTTTTAATTTAATTTAATTCATTAAATTAAATTAAAACAAACAAAAAAGGAGCCGAAAAACCCCGAAGAAACCGAAACTGGCGGCCTTTTCGGGGGTCGATGCCCGCGGCGGCCGGGGGCGGAAACTCCGGGAAATGGAAATGAAAATGAAATTCTTTTTGCAGATTTATTCCTTTTAATTATTTAAAGGTGTACGTACACCTCAGATGCTCTCAAAGCACTGCTCAGGGGGTCTTCTGACTGCATCACTTTTCTTTTTTTGCATTTGAACTCTCTTTCTTAATTTCGTTCAATTTTTCGTGTTTTCGTGTCGATACACCCCAATTTGGCGTCCTCTCTACATTTTAATTCTCTCAACTTCCTCCATTTGTTTTATTTGTCGCTTTTGGCATTCATTTATTCATTTAGTTCTTCACTTTTAACTTCAAACAATTCCACTTCGCAGCAAATGCCGCACCTCTCCACCCTTTCCTCAGCAGCTGCCACAGGAGCAGCAGCAGCAGCAGCATCGGACCCAGCAGCAGCAGCAGCAGCAGACCCAGCAGGAGCAGCAGTAGCAGACCCAGCAGCAGCAGCAGCAGCAGACCCAGCAGGAGCAGCAGTAGCAGACCCAGCAACAGCAGCAGCAGCAGACCCAGCAGCAGCAGCAGCAGCAGCAGACCCAGCAACAGCAGCAGCAGCAGACCCAGCAGCAGCAGCAGCAGCAGCAGACCCAGCAGCAGCCGCAGCAGCAGACCCAGCAGCAGCAGCAGTAGCAGACCCAGCAGCCGCAGCAGCAGACTCAGCAGCAGCAGCAGCAGACTCGGCAGCAGCAGCAGCAGACTCAGCAGCAGCAGCAGCAGCTCCACGTTGTGCTGCATCTCTTGAATTGGTGCCAGTGGGCGGCCGCATTTCCATAGTTTGCTTCCTCCCTCCGGCTGCACCGAAACCTCAGCCAGCAGCAGCAGCAGCAGCAGCAGCAGCAGCAGCAGCAGCAGCAGCAGATCTAAACAATCTTGTAGAAGCTCTGGACTCTCTCACTTTAAATAAATCCATTTCTCTCCAAACTGCAACCCCCAGTACCCAATCCAGACCCACAAACAAGGGGGGCCCCCCTCAGGGGCCCCCCGGGGGGCCCCCCCAGGGGGGGCCCCCCAGGGGGGCCCCCGGGGGGCCCCCCAGGGGGGCCCCCGGGGGGCCCCCCAGGGGGGCCCCCGGGGGGCCCCCGGGGGGCCCCCCTGAAGAGACTTTGGGGGGAAGAGAAGTGGTGGGGAGTGCTGCAGCAAAAGAAGAAAAGGGGGAAAGTGGAAAAGAAGAAAAAGAAAAAAAAGAAATAAAAAAAGAATTAAAAGAAGAGAAATGGAACTTCAAAGTTCACCAGCAGCAACTCGCAGGCGGAGACCACTTGCTGCGGCTGTCCGTGTGGCGCTCGCAGCAGCAGCAGCAGCAGCAGCAGCTGCAGCAGCAGCAGCAGCAGCAGCAGCAGCAGCAGCAGCGGGGCGGCGAACTGCAGCAGCAAGGCGAAAAAGAAATAAAAACTGAAATAAAAAATTATTTTAATTTCTATTTCAAACTGCCCTGTGGCCTTCCCTCTCTCCGCCTCGTTTCCGCCTGCTGCAGCACAGCAGCAGACACAGCAGCAGCAGCAGACACAGCAGCAGCAGCAGACACAGCAGCAGCAGCAGCAGACACAGCAGCAGCAGCAGCAGACACAGCAGCAGCAGCAGCAGACACAGCAGCAGCAGCAGCAACAGCAGGGCGCCCCAACTCACACGAGCAACACCGCCATCACCAGCAGCAGCAGCAGCAGCAGCAGCAGCAGCAGCAGCAGCAGCAGCAGCAGCAGCAGGGTTTGACTTTGAAGCTTTATTTGCAAAGTTCGCTGAGGTCCGATTTTGTGTGGAGGGCCCTGGAGGAGAAGAGCGACAAATTGCTGCGGCAGCTGCGGGGCCTCTGGGTGGCTTGCAGGTGAGCTTCGCTTTGCTGCTGCTGCTGCTGCTGCTGCTGCTGCTGCTGCTGCTGCTGCTGCTGCTGGATTAATTTGCAATTTTTTTGCTATTTAATCTTTTATTCTTTTCATCTATTCATCTGCTTTCCAGCCCCTTATTTACGCGTCTTTTCATGAGTTGGGACTGCCAGCCACTTGCTGCTGCTGCTGCTGCTGCTGCTGCTTTTGCTGCTGCTGCTGCTGCTGCTGCTTTTGCTGCTGCTGCTGCTGCTGCTGCTGATTTTTTGGGTTGCGCCGTTTCGCCGTGTGGCTTCTCGAGTTCAAATAATAAGCGAGAATAAAAATGATTTTAATTCAGATTTATTTATTTGATTATTATTTATTTATTTTTAGATATTTAAATTTACATATTTATTTAATTTTAATTAATTAATTAATTAATTTAATTAATTAATTAATTAACAAATTTTAATTTATTTATTTTAATTTATTTAAATTTATTTGTTGCTGGAGTGGCAGCGAATTAATCCGCAAATGCATTTCACCAGCGCCCCCACACAAATCTGTTTGTCTTTGTTTGAATAAATAAATAAAATAAATAAATAAAACAAACCAAATAAATAAATAAAAAAAAATAAATAATTAAATAAAACAAATTAAATAATAAATAATTAATAAATGAATAAAATAAATAATGAAAGAAGCCATATAAGTGAATAAATAAATAAATAAAATAATAAAACAAAATAAACAAATAAATAAGTAAATAAACAAATAAATAAATAAATAAGTATATAAACAAATTAAATAAGTAAATAAATAAGTAAGTAAGTAAGTAAGTAAGTAAGTAAATAAATAAATAAATAAATAAATAAATAAATAAATAAATAAATAAATAAATAAATAAATAAATAAATAAATAAATAAATA